TCCGCTCTCCCTCCCCCCTCCTCCCCTCAGTGAGGGAGCAGGCCAAGGAGGCCGGCCTTTCCTGTCTTGGCATCTTAGGGGGAGAGCTCCTCCCCTTCTAGCCTGGCTGCTCAGTGCCAGGCGTGTGTCATTTCTTTTGAGCCTTTCTGCAGAGTCATGCCTCTGGGGCTTCAGGGGATTTGCAAGGCCTCCTGATGTCTGGAGTGTTTTCCTTCTTCGCTGCTTTGCGTGAGGTTGGGCAAGTAAGTGTGGAGGGAGGCAGGCGAGGAGGAAGGCCTGCTCCTTTGCCTCTGCCAGGTGCCAGCCTCTGTCTCCAGGCTGCTCCCGCGGACCGGCCGGCCGTCTGAGCTGTGAGCCCTCTTTGCCCTTTGTGCCTTTCAGGAGCCGTTGGCTCCGGCTGTGTTTTCATAAGAATGTTCAGCAAAGTAGAACTGGTTATTAAACGAACAGAGGTCCGTGTTGCCAAAGATGCATGTTCAGGAAGTAGCCTGTGAAACCTCGTTAAGCAGGTTTCATTCCTGAAGGCCTTTCCAGAGCCTTCAGCATGCTCAGTGCCTTACGAATTTCCCAAAGGTGAGGATTATGGTGCAAACATAGAAGCAGGTAGTAAGGAAAGGAAGGGCTGTGCAGCTAGTGGCTTGGGCAGAAACTGAAACCCAGACAGGAAGAGTGATTGTTGAAGTGTGTGTGTATGTGTGTGTGTGTAATGATGGTGGTTTCATTTTTGTGAATCCTGATTCATTTCCTTTCCCTCCTCTCCATTCTAGTTTTTTTGCACTTGTAATAAAATATACATAACAAAAGTCATTGCTGTAACGTTTTTTCTTTTTGTCAGTCATAGGGCTTGAACTTTGGGCCTTGGCGCTGTCCCTCAGCTCTTCATCTCAAGGCTAGTGCTCTACCACCTGAGCCACAGTGCCACTTCTGGTTTTCTGGTGGTTCATTGGAGAGAAGAGTCTCACAGACTTTCCTGACCTTGCTGGCTTTGAACCTCGATCCTCAGATCTCAGCTTCCTGAGTAGCTAGGATTACAGGTGTGAGCCACCAGCACCCGGCTGTAACTGTTTTTAAGCATACTCATCGCTGCCTTTGGTCAGTTACATTCACACTGTGGTGAGGTCATCACCATCACCTACCTAGCCCAGACCCTTCCTCTTACCGATCCTCAGCCTGCACGCGTTACGCACTCAATCTCATCCCCTCCACACTGCCCCACTCTGCCTCCTTTCTGAGTCAAGGGCCCTCTCTGTGGAGTTGTGCAGTTTTTGTCTGTTTGTAACGGCCTTGTTTGATCCAGCACAGTCTTCAAGAGTTCCACCCTGGGGCTGAGAATGCGGCTTAGCAGTAGAGTGCTTGTCTAGCATGTAGGAAGCCTTGGATTCGATTCCTTAATACCGTATAAACAGAAACATATAAACAGGAAAACTGGTGCTGTGACTCAAGCAGTAGAGCACTGGCCTTCAGCAAATGAAGCTCAAGGACAGCACCCAGGCCCTGAGTTCAAGCCCTAGGACTGGCAGAAAGAAAAGGAAAGAAAAGAAGAGCTCCACCTTGTTGTGGCACATGTCAGCGGTTCCTTCCTCGTCAAGGCTGGGTAGTATTCTGCTGAATGGATAGAGAGTGCTTTGTTTAACCTCTGACCTGGATTGTTTAACCCCTAACTTTGATGGGATGGGTCCTTGTTTGCTTCCATCCCCCACCACTCCTCCCCCTCAAGTAGATACATAAAACATCTGCCCTTGTTTCCACATTTTATAGGTAGAATCACAGATTTTTTTTTTTTTTGGTAGGAGAGACTGTGATCTCTGAGTAGCACTCCCAACACAAAGCTGAGGGTTTTTGTTTTTTGTTTTTGTTCCATCAAGGGGCTTGAACCTGCGGCCTGGAAGCTGTCCCTGAGCTCATTTGCTCAAGGTGTGCTCTTTTGAGCCACAGCTCCACTTCTAGTTTTTGAGTAGTTAATTGGAGATAAGAGTCTCAAGGACACTTTTCTGCCCAGGATGGCTTTGAACCTTGACCCTCAGGATTACAGGCTTGAGCCTCCAGCCCCCAGCCCAGTTTTTGATCACCCTGTGGTGACATGCAGTGTATGAGGCTCTTATTTCTTATTTGGGGTAGTTGCAAGTCACAGCTGGTGAAATACGAGATGCTATTTGGTGTAAATTTCAGGGCGATTTTCAGGTTTTTAGAATCTAGCGCTTGGGAGCTTCTGTGGTCCCGAGGGGACCCCGGCCATACCCCTCAGTCCCTGCCACGATTCCCACCCACTCAGTGGCCACGCTTGCACGTTTTCTTATAATGGATCCTTCGATTAAACCACCTCAAATCTGTTTGAAAGGGTTAGAATAGAAATCTATTTATAAAATACAAAGGTGCAGGGACATTGGCCCTCTGCGCAGGCAGGGCCTCGAGGATCCAGCCTGTGTGGCCAGCTGCTCCCTCGGCTGGGACAGTGGTGGGCAAAGGAAAATTAGAGTTTCTAATTGAGCACTTTTATAATGGCAGGCAACCTTTTTTTCTTTTTGAGGACTTGATGATAGAGCGTGGTGGGGATGGTTGCTTATGTTAACTGTTTTTGTGTCCTTTCTTGGTGAAATGAAAGGTTGGTATGAGTGTGTCCATGCTCTTTGCGATTTTAATATCTGGTGAGAGCCGAAATTGGGAAATGACTAGTCGTTTAGGTCATAGATTTTTGCATAATTCTCCAGCCCCTAGATCCTGGGGGTTGGGGGGAATCTTGTTTTGGGGGAGTTGTAGGGAGTGCTATGGAGGAGGCAAGGGCCCTTTACCCCATTTTCAATAAGAGAAGAACCCCTTCTCATATATATATATTATACTTACATACATTGTATATGTTATATATTAGATATATCTTAAATATTAGATACATTATATATAGTGGAATTTGTGTGGTGGAGTTTGGGGATTAAAGGATATGCCCATCACAAGATGGAGAGCCTCTCCTTTAGGGGCTGAGGAGGGGCTGAGCTCAGGCTAGGCTTATTTCTCTGAGCAATAGCCAGTAAGGAAGAGGGGTGGGGAGAGGAGAGAGGAGAGAGGAGAAAGGAAAGGGGAGAGGAGAGTGTTCACACCAAAGGTGTGTATGTGTTATAGAGAGAGATCACACCAAAGTCTCTCATATCCTCCCTCCCCAACCTTTTTCTCTCTTCTGAGAGATTGCATTTAAGCAGTTGTCTCACATCACTGAGAGGGCTGCAAGTTCAAAACCAGGAGGACAGCTGGCAAGCTGGACACCAAGGAAGAGCTGCTGTTGCAGTGTGGGTCTGACCACAGCCGGGAAGGAAGCTTCTTCCTTGAGTACTTTTTTGTTTTTGTTTTTGTTTTTAATTCTTTCAACTAAAGGCATCAAAGTCACATGATAGATGGCAGCTGCTTTTCTCAGTCACCTGATTTAAATGTTAATCGTAGACTCATCTAGACTGAGGTCTTGATTATGCACGTGGGCACTGTGGCTTAGCCAGGTGGAAATGTGGAAGTAACACTCTCCTCCCCTTCACGCCTTTCCGGCCTGGTGGCCTGATGGGAAGGGGCCAGGGAGAGCCAGCTCTGTGCCAGCCCAGCAGAAAGAACTGAGAACAAGACCTTTTGTGTGGGTGAGGCGTAGGGGGCTTGAGGCTCCTTCTAGTAGGGCCTGAGCTTTCAAGCACAGAAAACTCAAAGCCAGAGTGAAACTAGTTGTAGGAGGGTAGATGGATGATAGCCTAATATTTTTATATAGCATTTGTATCATATTAGGTATGATAAATGATCAAGAGTTGACTTACAATATTCTGGAAAATTATATAGGTTGTACACCATTTTATTTATTTAGTCTGTCATTGGGGCATGATCTTGTGGCCTGGCCACTGTCCTTGAGTGCTTTTGCTCAAGGCTAGCACTCCACCACTTTGAGCCACAGCTCCACTGCTCCACTTACAGTTTCTAGGTGGTTAATTGGAGATAAAGTCTCTCAGACTTTTCAGGGGCTGGCTTCACACCACCATCCTCAGATCTCAGCCTCCAGCATAATAAGGATCACAGGCTTGAACTACCAACGCCATTTCCGATAAGGTACTCTTGAGTGTTTGCAGGTTTTGGCATCCCTGGGGATCTGGAACTAGTGCCCCCAGAGACTCTGAGGAACAGCTGTACTTTTGTTTATCCAGGACTCTGAATTTATAAAGGGTTTCCATGTGCATTAATTGCTGCTTGCCACAAACACGTGTTTTAATTGACAGTCTCAAGGTCCACTGGGGTTAAAGGATTCATCAGAAACCACACAGCTCACGGATGGCAGGTCTCCGTGGGATGTGCCTTCTCCTGTTCCTCCTGGGCTTTAACCTCCCCTTACCTGGGCATAATGAAATCTGTGGGAATGTGGCTGTGGGAGAGGCGCATGGAGAACATTACGTATTTGGTGGTACTGCAGTTTGAACTCGGGGCCTCATGCTTGCTAGGCCAGATGCTCTGCCACTGAGCCATGACTATAACCTTCTTTGAGCACTAATTTTTGAGATAATATCTCACTTCTGGTCTGGACACGATCTGCCTATTTGAAGCTTTTTGCCGCTGGGATAGCAGGTGCCTTCCATAGGGCCCAGGCTTTTCCATTGCAATGGAGCTTTATGCATTCTTCTGTCTAGACTGGCCCAGGACCACAGTTCATCCATCTCAGCCTTCCACTTATCTGGGATAACAGGTGTGTACCACCGTACCCAGCTGTTGGTTGTATCCTGGGCTGTCCTAGGACCACAGTCCTGATCTCTGTCTCCTAAGTAGCTGGGAGTTTATGCATGAGCAACATGGACGCCCAGCTATAGAGATGGACTTTAGAAGGGAGAGAATAAATATATATTTTTCCCCACAAAGAAATCCTGTAAAACTGAGTACCTTCTCCTTTTCTCAGATTTTTCTGAGTCTTTTTTTTTTTTTTACCACCCCGCTCCAAACCATTTTTGTTAACCTGTATTTTTCTGTTTCTTCTTCTTGCCCTCCTGCAGACACGAATGCAGAGTTTAAACCCAGATCCCAAAGCCCAGTACACAAGCATCTATGGAGCCCTGAAGAAAATCATGAAGACTGAAGGCTTCTGGAGGCCCTTGCGGGGCCTGAACGTGATGATGATGGGTGCGGGGCCGGCCCACGCCATGTATTTTGCCTGTTATGAGAACATGAAAAGGACTTTAAATGACGTTTTCAACCACCAAGGAAACAGCCATCTAGCCAATGGTATTTTGAAAACCTTTGTCTGCAGTTAGACAGTTCTCTTCTTCAGCAGCCTATCCCGGGGCCTTCTCCCCGTGACCCAGCAGTCATCGGCTTCGGCATCTTGCTCAGGAACAGAGAACTCTAGGTCGCTGTGTGCACACCCAGTCTGACATGTGCACACGAGCACGCGCACGCGCACACAAGCTTTTTCTGTTTCCTTCCTTCTCTGAAGCCTGGGGGAATTGGTGGCAGAGGTGTTTCAGGTTTTTTTTTTTGTTCGTTTGTTTCATTGTGTGGGCTATTGTTTTGTTTTCTGAATTGAAACAATCAAAAGCGATTAATGATCAGACCTAGAGGGAAACAAACCCACTCCCCCGGAATAGAAACACAACTTTTGAATGCTGGATTTAAAAAAAAAAAAAAGCAAACACACACACACATACACAAAGTTATCTGGACAGCTTCTTTGAGACTATTTAAAAACTGGTACGGCAGGTCTCCAGCGCGCCGAGATCTAAGCTTTAAAAGGTCAAGACGTTTTATGGCTGATTGATGAAGGACTTGGCCACTGCCGAAGGCCTTTCCCGCCTTGAGCTTCTGGAGACTCGGGGGTTTGCTCCCCATCCTCCTCCGTGTGTCTGAGCCGCATCTCTCTGCGAGGGCTGCAGTAGTTCTGTGTGGTGGATTCAGGGAGGGCCGGGTTGGGGGGTGGGAGGTTGCACGTTGGCAGTCCGTTCTTAACCCATGTAGTACTGTGCTAGGCTGGGTGGTCTTTTTCTCCTGTCTATGGGGTTGATGTCCATGGATTTTTGTTTTTTGTGTACAAGGAAATATGGATAGTAATGTAAAGCATACTTTTTTTTTTTTTTGCCAAAATTTGTTTTCTAGCACTCAAGCAAGGGAGAAGCGTCCAGCAGGAACTCCCTTTGTTTTGCTCTGCCCAGAACCCCAATGCACCCCTCCCATCATCAGGCCTTGGAAATAAGTGCACCTGGCTGGTTTACAGACGTTTCCTTGGCTTTTAAACTGTTGGGCATTGGTTCCATTCATTGAGATGGTTATGAAGAGCCATGCCTTGATGTCACCTGTGCCTGTGACATTGGGCTCTCCTCTTGCCCAAACGCCCTTAGGTACTAGTTTGGATTCTTGAAGGAGTTTTAACAGAATGCAGTTTCTGCCGAGGTCTGCCCAGTGCTGCCCTATAGCTTTGTGCTGAACTGTGATTCCATTGTGGCTTTTTTTAAAAAAAGTTAACGTGCAGGAGAGAGAGAGGTTGATTTCTTTTTTGTAACCTCTTTGAAGAGTTATCCTGTCCCTCATTCTCCCTCCTTCCGTGGTAATTTGAACTACCAAGCAGTAGCACCACAAAGGGAGGAAATGCACAGTTCCAGGACTCATTCAGTGTTCTGAAGTTCCTGGCTCTTGAAGCCAGGTCAGAGGAGATCACCAAACAGCGTCTGTGTTATCCATGAGGCCCGTCGTTGCTTTACACATTTACCCCGAAAAAACCTATCTGATTCCCACTTCCTGACATCCTTGTCTTCTACCCATTTTCTTCACAATGGTTAGATTTTAAGGAATTTTCTTGAAGATTCCCTTCTTGCCCATCCATATACATGCTATTATTCCCCTTAACCACCTGACCCTTAAAGGCACAGTGATGACAAAGGAGACAGGAGAGAATGCCAATCTAGACAGTAGGCAAATGCCATGTTGTGATTTCTGGGTGCCGCACAGCCTTAGCACATTTAGCTTTCGCCCAGGGTTGAGGAGCCATGTTTCTGTCGGCCTTCTCCATCTCTACTTCCACTTTAGGATCTGAAGCGTCAGTGCTCACCTGGGCAGAGCTGCGAGTCAGTGTGGGTCCTTAGAAAGCTGAGTCCAGAGTTGGTCCAATGTTAGGTTCCAGGAACTTCCCAGAGCGCCCAGTTGCGGAGGGTAATTTTTTGGAGTTTGTTTTGCAGGGATAGCTGGGAGTATGGCCACCCTGCTCCACGATGCGGTAATGAATCCTGCAGAAGGTAATGTCTTCCGGTTCCAGGGAAGAACCGGAGGGGTTGTGCAGAGGGGCAGGAGGAAAGGGGGAGGGGAGGGTTGGTAGCGGGCAAGGGCAGAAGGTGGGCAAGTGCCAGGGCCATCCACAGCCAACTGGAGGACTGGGATATTGTCTCAGGAGAGACAGGAGCTTTGGAGTTTTTATGGTCTTGCTGGGGAAACAGAGGTAAACCTAACTACTAAAAGATGACGTCCTCTGCCCTGTAGCCTTCTGGGAGGTGTTCGGATCACCGATCCTCCCGGACCAGGGTAGCAGAACTGGGGGCATTCATTCGGACAGCTCTCTAGTGATCTTTTTAGATCGTGGTGATCTAAAATCCTGTGCATTCATGGCTGGCCCACGTTGCCTTTATCAACACTAACATTTGGTTGCCCTCAAATGTAGGGAACCTGTCAGAGGCCCTTCTTTAGGGCTCGTATACAATTGGACATGATCATGGAAGATCTGAAGCAGATAAATGTAGACAGAATGGAATTCTGAGCCCTGGCACACTGCAAATGTACGTGTAGCCAGTTTGGGGGGCTCTTTTCTTTTTTCTTCCCTCCCCCCAGAGCTCTGTAGCTCTGCAAATCTCGGCTGTTAGCTAGCTCTTGGTTTATTCTGGAAAGCTCTGGCATCTCAGGTCTGCCTAGGAAGATTTGGGCCTGGTTTTGGGCCTGCCTTCAGCGGGTGGCTCGCCTTGGTGGCAGCCATAGGTGACATGCAGTGTGTTCCACTTTGTTCCCCTCACTTGGAAATGGTGTACTGATAGGAGGGAAAACTGGAGAGACAAGTCTCAGGCTATGTTTGTTTGGGTTTTGTTTTGCTTTGGTTAAAATTTCTTGCTTGTTCTCATAGCTGCCTCCCACTGCCTAGCAGGGAGGGAGGGAACTTGTTCTGGCCCTTGAGGCCATGCCGGGTCACCCTGGAAGTCGGGTGGTGAGGGAAGCTCGTAAGCCTTTTAGGTGGATTTTCTCATTGCGTAGTGGGACCTGCTGGAATGAAACGTCCTTTTCTTACGTTTATATGGAAAGCAGAGAGTTCAGAAAGATGGCCTGTGTCCTGTTTTCTCTTGTGATGTCATGTACTTAAGTCAACTTACCTGTCCCTGTGGTTTTTCCTGTCATAAGTATATTCAAGACCAAGTGTTTGAGGCCAGGAAAGTGGTGGTCTGAGGTAGGCAGGGAACAGTTCAGAGGAAATCATATAATTCCCAGTTGGGTGCTAGTAGCTCACGCTTATAATCCTAGCTGCCCCGGAGTCTGAGTTCTAAGGATCATGGTTTGAAGCCAGTCAAGGCAGAAAAGTCTGTGAGACTCTTATCTCCAGTTAACCACCAAAAAGCCAGAAGTGGAGGTGTAGTACAAGTAGGTAGAAGCTAGCGTTGTGTCAAAAAGCCAGGTGTGACAGTGTGAGGCCCTGAGTTTGAGCCCCAGTACCAGTAGTCATGGAGGCTCAGGGTCCTCACGGATACAAAAATGTATGGATATTAGAGCTCCTTACATAGAGTGGTATAATAGTCACATCTGTCTGGCACATTCTCTCCGGCTTACTTACAAAACATAATGCAATGTACGTAGTTGTCACACTGTGCTGTTTAGGGAATAGGGCCAAGGAAAAAAATCCAACTTTATTCAGTACAAATACATTTTTCCCCCTGAATATTTTTGATGCACAGTTGATTGGCTCTTCGGGTGTGAGCTTTCTTCTCTATACTTTTTTTTAAGGTGATTCATGCAGTGATCTGGTCAGTGATCAGTTTGTTAGCTTGTGTCAATGAAACAAGGATTTCGTTGATCTTTTTTAAAGGATTTAGGGGAGGCTCACCCCTCCTTCCCCCATTATTCTTGTTGATGTAAGGTCTTCGATAAGACCGAAGCGTAACACGTGAGTTCACTTGGACATCGTTAAAGCCCCGCAGTCTGGGTGAGAAACCCAGCCTCGTCCCCTCTTGCTCTGTGAGCCACTGCTTTGTAATAATGAGGATTGTCTCCGAACGTGGGCAGGTGTAATTCTAGTATTGTCTCACTTAAACCATGATGTGGAAGCTGAAATATGACTGTCAGAGATGCAGACCCCTGAGAGTAAGCGAAGGATACAATCTTCTGATAGACTGATGCAGGATGATTTGGGCAGAGGGAGAGAGGGCAGGGTTCAGATGTCTGTTCCAAGGCCCATTGGCAGTCAGGATCTGGGAGATGAATGAGGTCAGCCGATGTAGCCTGCGGTGGCTGCCTGGCTGAGGGGCCACCTTAACTGGAGACTGACAGGAGCCCCTGTGGACATCGTTACCTTCCTGGTGCCGAGTCCCACAGGTAGAAATGGATCATTGAATCGGGACTGCCTGGTGCTGGCCCTCGGAGGCCTCCCAGGCTGGGGCTGTGTGTGCTCGCTCCCGATGTCCTTTACCAGTGTGTCTAACTTGCTTGTTTCTCTTTATTGGCTTGGCTTCTCATTTCACTCCGACCTGGGGTGGGGTCAAACCAACCACCTGCCCGCTCGCTGGCTGCCCGTCTGGCCTGGCCTGGCCTGTCTGCCCCGCGGTCCCGAACACAGTGGTGAAGCAGCGCTTACAGATGTTCAACTCGAAGCACCGGTCAGCCCTCAGCTGCATCCGGACGGTGTGGAGGACCGAGGGGTTGGGGGCCTTCTACCGGAGTTACACCACGCAGCTGACCATGAACATTCCCTTCCAGTCCATCCACTTCATCACCTACGAGTTCCTGCAGGAGCAGGTCAACCCTCGCCGGGACTACAACCCACAGTCTCACATCATCTCGGGCGGGCTAGCTGGGGCCCTGGCCGCGGCCGCCACCACTCCGCTGGACGTCTGTAAGACCCTGCTCAACACTCAGGAGAACATGGCACTGACCTTGGCCAAGGTCGGGGGCCGGCTCTCAGGCATGGCCAATGCCTTCCGGACCGTGTACCAGCTCAACGGCCTACCTGGGTACTTCAAAGGCATCCAGGCACGTGTCATCTATCAGATGCCCTCCACTGCCATCTCCTGGTCGGTCTATGAGTTCTTCAAGTACGTCCTCACCAAGCGCCAGCTGGAGAGTCGAACTCCGTACTAAAGCAGCAGGCTGTGGGAAGTTGATTGAGCATCTTTTGTTTGCAACGGGCTTCCTGTGGCTGCCCGGTCCCCTTGTCCTCACACCCAGGCCCGTTCTGCAGGGCACCTGCGCCAGACCCTCCGCTCCTGGTGCCTTAGAGAGAGGGGAGGACAGGATGGTCGCTGCCCCCAAAAGCTGTCCTCAGGGACGTGTGAGTGGCGGTGGACAGGAAGGACAGGGGAAGGGGACCGAGGAGTAAGGAGTGGCTTTTTTGTCCTCCGAGAGGAATGTGTCAGTCTCCTTCCTGGGTCCTTAGATCACAGCTCAGGGAAGAAGACAGACAGTGGCTGAGCGTATTAAAGGAAGAGAGTCTATGTATATAAAAGTTTCATTACACAGTCTAAAATAGGTGGATAATGTTTATCCTTTATTTTTTCTACTTAGAAGTTTTTCAATTTGTGTGTGTGTGTGAGTGTGTGTGTGTGCACTTGTGCGTGTCCATAAATAGTATTGCAGCCAGGATTAAATCGAGCTGTGTTTTTTAAAGAAATAATAAGAGGGCTGAATCCTCCTATCAGGTTAAGTAAAAAGGCACCAAAGTTCTCAAGGGCTGAGTGTGGCCTCCAATCCTGTGCAAGCCCCTCCCTCCCCAAGGTGGAAGTTTGACTTGAATGTGAAATAAATACTGAGCATATCTTTTGAATTTCTCTTTTAATGGGGGAAAAAGGTACGTTGAGAAAGAATCATAATGACCTATTATTGCAGTTTCTACAAATTCAATCACCTTCATGTGCCTTTTCCCTTTGTCTTTCCAAAAAGATTCGGGACCAAAGATGGGGTCCTGGCACATTTTCTTCTGCTGTGTCTACACACATGCCAGTGCTGGGTGATGAGGTTGGGCTCACTGTAAGGTGACCCCTGGGGTGGCGGGTCCCAAGCCTGCTGTGATACTCCCCGCCCCCACCCCCACCTTCCCCCTGTTGTGACATGAGTTTCTCCCTGGTCAGCACTTGGCAGCCTCGGATACGTCAACGTTTGGCTATTTGCTGAGATCACCGGGATAAATCCTGTTATTGTAGGACTTATTTCTGTGTCAACTTTTTTCCCTCAGGTAACGTGTGTGTGTATGTGTGTGTGTGTGTGTGTGTGAGAGAGAGAGAGAGAGAGAGAGACAGACAGACAGACAGACAGACAGAAAGACAGAGCGCACGCTCAGGGCTTTTTTTCACTTGTCTTGTTCAGTCAAACCTGGCACTCTAGCTCTTGAGCCACATCTCCACTTCTAGCTTTCTGCTGATTAATTTGATATGAGCCTCACAATTTTTTTCTGCCGAGGCTGGCTTCCAGTCTCAATCCTCAGATCTCAGCCTCCTGAATAACCAGAATTATAGGTGTGAGCCACCTGTACCTGGCTCTGTGTGTGTATTTCCCATGCTGCCTAGGAATTTTCAGGAACACAGTACAGGTCTGGGCCAGCCATTAACGTGCCTCCGTCCTGTCAGGGTGGACCTCATGTCTGGGCCAGAGGAGATCCTGTAGAGATGCTTCCCATCTTGTCTGCTCCATGTTACCTGGGAACACAGGGCTTGCTGCTTGGTGTTCTGAAATGCACTGTCTCCAGGGGAGCGAGCGTGTGTCCTCTAGCTTGGCCGCTTTGGTGAACTTTAAAGCAGCAGCATGCCATCCGCTGTTCTAGTGGTTCAAAAAAAAATTTTTTTTTTTGAGCTCTTCTCACCAAAGCCTGGTACCAATGAGCAGGAATCGAGTGCTTTCATTCTGGCAGGCCCGGTTCCACCTAGATAAAAAGCACCTCAAGGTCATGGCATACAGTCTCCAACAAGTATAGGTTTTTTGGTCCTAAGAGCGTTTAAGAAGTTACACAACAAAAAGCCCAACTGTCTTGTTCAAATCAAGGATGGTGGAGAGCTGTCTCGCACCGCGTGCCTCCAGTGTGTGGCCCCAGGGCCTTGCTGCTGACCCATCCGCTTTGCAGTGATACCTACCATCTCCATGGAATCCAGTTAATGGAGGCTTCTTTGCAAGCTGTCTATATACCATCCCATCTCTGAAAATGTCTGCTCTCTGACCTGGCCTTGCGCTAGCAGTAAATAGCACTAAGTTCTGAAAATGGAAGAGAAATCCTAGAGTCTAAAGTAGAATTCAGATTCTCAAAAATGTTTCCTTCCGACTCCTTTTATGTCCACTTGATGTGCTCCCCGGCTACAAAATATTACTTCCTGGAGGCTTTGTTCTCCTCCTGTCAGGGTGATACAAGATGGAGACACAGGACCCCAACTTCAGAGCTCTGTAGGTTCCAAGTCAGGGGGATCCAGTCCTGGTTTTCCCTCACCGTGCTGATGAGCTTGTCAGTTAGGGGCGGCCCCTGCCCTGCCTGTGCCCTAGCTGTGACTCACCTGGCCAGCCTGAGGGTGAGGAAATAAGTATCCGAAAAAAAACTTTCAAGTTCGGAAGCATCCAGAGTGTTGATTTTTTGTGGGAATTCTTCCCTTTCTCCCCTTGCTGTTCACGCAGGCCTGAGTGTTGTGACTTTGACATTGTAGCATGCATAGGAAAATTCTACCCCTGCCCAGGGACCAGCTTCATCTAGTGAGGACATACATTGGTCATTGTTTTGTCAGGTGATGTCACCTGATTATAATATTTCATTGTGTGTGTATGTGCGTGCGTGTGTGTGCATGTGTGTGTGACATGCAATTAGCTCTACTGCTCAGTCCATGATTTGAGGTTCAGCCACTTACAGAACAGAGTTTGATTTTACAATGAAACATTCATTTTTTTTTCTAATGGGATAGATTCTCAATTCATGGCTGTTTTTTTTTTCTCTCTTTGGATTGAACTATTTATTGGTCTACGTGTGGTTTGTTTAATGCTGATATTCCAGGTCCCATCCCTCTTCGGCCCTCTAAGACTGGATCTCTCCACCAGACGATGTCAGTTTTATTCAACCTTATTTAAGTTTGATTGTACCTGTGAAGTCCAAATGGACTGCTGTGTGTCTAGGGCAAGCCAATGTGATTCCCTTGCATGTCTTAAAAGCTTGCAGTCAAGATTGTACCTCCTCTCGCAGAGTGTGCGTGTGTGGGGATGCATCCACTGGGCTGCTAGACTTGTCACTGGAGCTGGAGAAAAAATAAAGCATTGATCTTGGAAATGTGTGGGCTGTGTGGTGGCGGTAGTACCCAGAAGAGACCTGCATGGATGGGGTTTGTGTCTGAATTGTGCGTGGAAGACCACTGGGGCCCTGCTGTCTGGGTTCCACCGCTGGCTACAGCGGAAGCTGCCCACTGCCTGGTCCGCGCAGGTGCCTGTGTGGAGCGCCTCCTGTCTGCTCTGCTCACTGTCTTGGGAGGGGGCAGCCTTTCCCTGGGTGTGGGTGACTCCTCCCCGTGATTCCCGGGGCATGTGTCCATGCCTGTCGCCCCACATCCACCTCCCCTGAGAGCTGGGAGTCAGAACTCTTGATTCTCTGCTCTGAATCAAGAGTCAAAGCCAGAGGTCGATTTAGCATGGGCCCCAGGGCTGGGAAGGGGCCGGGAAGGTCGGGACCAGGCAGAGGGTATTGGACATCAACTTCCTGCCTTGTCCTTTTGCCAGTAGCCAGCCCCAAGCATCTTAAAATTCACTTGTGGCTTGTGATTGTTTCCTGCCAGCTAGGATGGGAACACTGGCCTGTGCTCAGGGTTCAGAGCCACATCTGCACCTTCTCCCAGCTCCAGGAGCTCAGCCAGCCCAGCCTCAAGCTGGAGCTGCGGGGCATGGAGACATACAATGTGGTTCCTGTCATAGGTCCATTAGAGCACAGGGTGACACACCTTTGTGTATAAGTGTGCCTATCCTAGGGCGTGAACTCAGGACCTGGGGACACACTCTGAGCTTTTTTTGCTCAAGACTTGTGCTCTACCACAAATCACAACTCCACTTCTGGCTTTTTTGGTGGTTAATTGGAGACAAGAGTCTCATGGCTTTTCTTGCCCTGGCTGGCTTCAAACTGCGACCCTCACATCTCAGCTTCTTGAGTAGCTAGGATTACAGGCGCCCGGTTCCAGACATGGATTTTCTTTTTATCATCACATCTCGATCCCTTTCCTCCAAGATGGTGGTGATGATGATTGCTTTGGAAGCCAAATGGCATCCTGGCTGTTGGACCAATGGCCTTTATCCATCAGCCTCCCTGCTTTATCCTAGCCAGTGGTGGCTGGAGCTCTCTAGTGCTGGTGCTGGTCGTTTTTCCCTGGCTTTGTACTCAGGCATGTCATGTTGGTAGTGGAAATCAGCCACAGTGGGGTTATTTACACCACTTGAATGGGCAAGCGCTACAAATCCAGGCTCTTGGTTTTTCCAAGAACTGGCATAGTGCTTGGTGTGTCTGGGTTTTTGTAGACAAGGTTTATTAGACCTCATCTTCAGCATGGAGTCTTGGCTTGTGCTGCCCCTCAGTGCTGGCCATCTCCTGTCACTCCACACCCCTTTCCAGAATGCCCATGGGCTAGTTTGTGAAAAGAAGGTGTTCTCTTTCTTCCTGAGTCAGGGTCTCTGTCTTGAGTTCCTATGAGCTTAAACTCTACTCCTCCTAGGAAAGACTTTTGCTTTGATCCATTTGAGTGGCCTTCATGAGGCAAGCTTCTCACTGTACCAGAAAATGACGTCAGAGGTAGGGTAGCATCGCTTAGTAGGTAAAGTATTGCTTGCCTGTGGCTCTCGGACTGGATAGAGGAGTGGCCTGAGTAGTGAATACAGTTTGGGAGACCAAAGCTTGGTCCATAGTCATGGAGGCTTGTCGGTGAAATTTTCAAGAGCTTAAGACTTCTTGTAAGAACTTGACTGTTGAACAGCAGGCTTTGGAGCATGATTGAAGGTCTTTGAGCCATCTTGTAGAAATGTGCAGGGCTAAGCGGAGAAGGAACAGTGGCAGGTGGATGGACGCGGTGGTCAGCTTGGTGTCACAGTGAGATGTATCCAGAAGATGGGTGACTACTAGGGAGACTGAAGCAATGCATGGCACTGGACTGAGTGTGGCCTCCATTGAGGTTTGGGTGATGGAGCGGTGGAGGGAAATCTGGCTGAAATGACCAGCAGGTGGCGGTAGCGAGTTGTCCATCTCTCAATTCCTGGATCTCTCCTTGGTCCTCCTCCCTGGGGATGCACAACACACAGCTCCCCTCTCTCACTTCCATTTCTCTTGATCCCTTTGTGCCTGTCCTCTCTGGTCCCCCTCATTGGCTTTAGCCATCCTAGGGAAAAGGTGGATCCCAATCAGGCTGGCTCCAGTGATCTTTCATGCACAAGATGGAGGTGGGCCATGCATAAACTTCCTCAGTGAATCGTGCATGACAGCAGCAGCAACAGCTGAGAACTCTGCATCATCCAAACTTCAATTGCCTTGTGCCAAGACTAAAACCCTAGCACCAGCTTGGAAACTAGATACTGAAGTGCTAGCAGTTCCTTTGATTCTTAATCATCTTCTAGCATTTCTAGTGATTGTATCTGTGGTTTAATATATAGCCGTTACCAAGGGTCAGTCTTCAAGTAGGAGCCATGGGCTGAGTAAATTGTATAGTTCCAACTCAAGTTCATGGTGTCAGTGAAATCTGGATACTCATGAAGAATGTTAGAATCAGTGAGACTGTGAGGGTGCCCTCATAAGTGGGAAGAGCAGCTCGGAAGAGAGAATGTTCTAGGTGGAAATCGTGAACTGACCCCTGAGGCTGTTCACACAGATGGCATTGTTAGATCCGGAGCTGGCATGCGTGAGACCACGCCCCTTCAGGAAGCGTTCTTAGCTTCTTCCTGTCAGAGTTCATCAGATCCAACTTCCTGTTTGGAAGAGCAGATTTTTGCTGATTTTGGTTTAGATGGTAATCTTTGTTGACCGACATTATCGACTTTCCACCTCGGCCTTTGTTACTTGTTTTTAAGAAAAGGCAAGTTTCTCACAGTCAGATTTTAAAAACACAATTACTTGATAATTCTAATGCAAGGACACCTATTTATTTGTTGTATGGAATGATTTTATTTGCTCTGGTCCATTGTAAACCATATACTGAATGAGGGGTTACTATGTCTGGAGGCTTGGGAGCTGGTCCAGGAGGCCTCTAACTGGTTGGGGAGACCTGTGCAATCTTGGCCATAGCATTTAATTTCTCTAGTCTACAATTTCTTTATCTTCACAGTGAAAAGGCTGTGCCACCACCTTCCCGACCTGTGGTAATGTCCATGAAGTATAGGTTCCACCATGTCTCAAGTATTGTCCATGATTTGATGACACATGCATTCTTTCCCTTGCTTTTTTAAGAGTGGTGCTCTACCAGTTGAGTCACACTTCTTCCTTTTTTATTGATTAATTGGAGGTTAAAGTCTCACAGATTTCTTGCCCAGAACCAAGATTCTCAGATCTCAAACCTCCTGAGTAGCTAGGATTATTGGCATGAACCACCATCGCTCAACAA